GCAGGGGTGATGGCGCAACAGAGGCACTGTACTGTCGGCTCACTACAAGAAGTTAGGAGTTTATTGGATTTCTGACAGGATCACTATATTTTCTTTTGTGCTTAAAGGAGAACTATGAGATGAGTGCTTTTCACTCACCTCATAGTTCTAGCCGACCTGTGACAATGAGACTGTCACAGGTCGGCTCTTAATCCTTTATTATGCCCTCTAGCATTTTACAAACTACCGATGTTAGACTGACCGGCCTATAGTTCCCAGGTTGGCACCTAGCCCCCTTTTTGAATATTGGGACTAACGTAGCCCTCTGCCAATCACTATGGACCCTACCAGTCATTAAGGAGTCCTTAAAAATAAGGATTAATGGTCTAGTTATAACCTGGCTTAGTTCCTTAAGTACCTTGGGGTGCAGGTTATCCGGACCCACTGCTTTGTTTGCATTGAGCATTTTAAGTCTTTGTTGTATCCCGGTTTCCGTCAACCACTGGGGTATATTTTGAGTTAAACTGGGAGTTTTATCATGTGTGTCAAACCCGTTACCCTCCCGAGTGTATACTGAGGAGAAAAAAGCATTCAGCGCCTCGGCCCTCTCCTTGTCGTTTGTGACTAGCTTCCCGCTTTCTTTCTTCCTTTTATTGGGCCTATCTGCTCCTTTCTCACCTTTTCACTGTTAATATATTGGTAGAATTTTTTGGGGTTCTTTTTACTATCTGCGGCGATATGCTTTTCGCAATCAATTTTAGCTGCCCGGGTTACTAGTTTGCATTTTTTGTTACATTCTTTGTAGTTAAGGAACGCCAATGCCGTCCCCTCCGTCTTATATTTTATAAATGCCGCTCTCTTGTCCTTGACGTGTTGTTTTTACAGTTTTATTAAGCCATATAGACTTAGTCTTTGATCTTTTATTTTTGCTCCCTAAAGGTATACACTTTGAAGTAGCAGTATGTAGTGTGTTTTTAAAAAAATCCCACATCTGGTCTGTGTTTAGGTTGTGAAATAAGTTTTCCCATTTTATTTCCCCCACTAGGTTGCGCAGCTTATCAAAGTTGGCCCTTCTGAAGTTTAGGGTTCTAGTCCGTCCAGCCAACTTCCCTTTTCTGTATTCAATATTAAAAGTAATCAAATTGTGATGACATTTACCCAGTGACTCCCCAATTACAATATCCTCGATTTTTTAACTCTGCATTATTAGTGACAATTAGATCTAGGATGGCATTTTTTCTGGTCGGAATCTCCACCATCTGGTCCATGAAATTGTCTCGCAAATGTTCAGAAATCGCCCCGCCTTCGCCGAACCCGAGGTTCCATTGGCCCAATTGATGCCTTGGTAATTGAAGTCACCCATTACGACTACATTGCCCTCTCTCCCAGCTATTCCTATCTGGGAGTGAAGGTTGACCTTTCCCTTTTTCCCTATAATTGGAGGTTTATAGCAAAATACCCACGAGAAGTTTACGGCTTTTGTCCATCGTATCTAGCTCCAGCCATAAGGTTTCCACTCTTCCCCATTATTTGATTCTTGGCAAGTAAGGATATGATTGTCATGGTTCTCTCAGACCGTTTTCAGACAAAATGGATATTGCACACTCATTTAAAATTAGCAGATTGTCTTCGAAACATGCCATGCTATATTACGCTGTACACGTTCCTCCCTTGAACTAAATAGTTTTTGGAGACATTGTCATGCTATTGTCAAGTGACCCATACATGCTTTAAATCTAGTTCTATATACATATTTTTTGTTATTCAATATATATTTATTATTAATTTTTTTCAAATAACATTTATACATATACATTTAAATACGTTAAAATAGTTTCCTTAAACTCAGGCGTCGGGATTCGCTCCATAAGACGCAGGCACTTTTTCCCCCTCCTTTTGAGGGGAAAAAAGTGCGTCTTATGGAGCGAAAAATATGGTATATATTTATTCAATTACATAATACTTATTATTTTCCCTTCCTCACGCCATCCATATGAGATCACCATAATCTTACACTTCTAATAGACTATATTTAAATACATATCTTCCCACATGCTTTCTCAGCATTTCTCTCAGATCTAACTATATATGAAGGAAGTAGTTGCTGATTTTAGGGTGCAGTTATGGCATGAGGAATGTTACCATTCTTTGGAACACATCTGCTATTCATTTATAATTTTAGCTTGTGTGGTATTTATGTTTTAAAACGTTTTTTTGTTTTGATGTATAGATTTTATACAGAACCAAAAAATACAATCTTCCTTTTTATAATACACTTGATGTACACCTAAAAATCCCAATCGCACACAGCCCCATAGGTTGAGCAAAAGTATTGTGGGCTGTCTGATATCTATGTTCTGCTTGGTTGAATTTTACATAGCTCCACTTACTGTTGTTGTTCTAGGTAATCAGAGCTATGATTTTCTTGCATCATTTTGGGGTTGGGTGGTTGTTTTCTTGCAACATAACTAGAGTTTAAACTATATTAACTTAAAACCTAGCATTTGAGAAATCTGTACTCCTTGATTGTACATCACAGGCCACAGGAAGTTAATTCTTCAACAGTTTGGGTTATGCAGCTATCTTTGGGTGATGGACCCTGGCCAATCACTCAAAACTTTAAGACAGTCCTGTATAACCCCGTCCACTCCTAGTGTTTCAGGTTTTTGCCAGTGTCTTTAGGCGATGGACATTAGACATGTGCGATTCGTTTAGTAAAAAATGTGTTTTCAAACACATTTTTTGTTATTTGAAGATTAGAATATTTCAGAATAACAGACATGACAAATGAAAACAAATCTGAATTTTCAAAAACTAAAATTTCGGACAAAATTCGTTAGTGGTAGTCTGCACGCATTTTGGTTTGTGGACAAATTTTTGTTGCAGCAAAGTGACATAAATTATTATATTCTTAACCCCTTCGTGACGAGACGTACACTGTATGTCCAGCCACAAAGGGACCAAATGACTCGTCACGTACACTGTACGTGACGAGTTATTTGCTGCTTTAGAGG